TTGGAAACAACCAAGATGCCCATCACCTGAGGAATGGTTGAAAAAGATGTATTTTTACACAATGGAGTATTACTCAGCTATAAAGAATGATAAATTCAAAGGCTTTATGTTGAATTGGATGCCACTTGAAGATATACTGATCAGTGAAATAAACAAGACACACGTGTAAATATCGTATAGTTTCCGTAGTATAAGAATTCAAAAGAAGAAATGCAAATAGAAAGGTATAATACAAGTAAAAGGAAAGCAGGAACTCAAGGACTAACTAATTAGGAGAGGGAAAGGAGAAGAGCTAGGAAACATGACAGTAACAAGCCATACAGTTATATGTACAAGATGGACAAGGCAATGATCCTGAGAATCTCCAGAAGATTTTTGAATCTAATAGTTAATTGGAAAGATTCTCACCCTGACTAACTATATATACTGATACCTGTGAACTAAGCAACTGCCCTGAAGATGGTAATCTGTAATAGTAGTTTCATGCTTGGAGTGCCTGTCATTCTGGTCTTCTGAATACGGGCTGCTTGTCATGACATGCCAGTTGCTGCTGTGCTTTCTCTAAGGTAGATGATTGTTCAAAAAAAAGGGGATGGTGAATGAAGGCAAGAGACAGGAAAAGGAATATTTTGGGACTGTCCTGCTTCAAGGTTGTATATGGTTAGATTTTTGGACTCATGTGTAAACATAAGAATTATATAATTCTCTATGTCTATTTTTTTAAAATATATTCTAATTTTTAAATGTTTTTTCATCATATTCTGTAGGGACTTAAAGTTCAACATATCAATACTTGATAAAAAAATACCTGTTCCATGTTATGCCTAAGATGTTTGATATTCAGACAGACAGTGAGGTTAAGCTTAACAGCCTAGGTTGTATGGTAATAACAATAAGTTTGTCTTCTGGAGGGTTAACTACCTAAGTTTGCAGACCAAAATTAGAGAAAAAGGAGGGCTGCAAGGAAAGGCAACATTTTGGCCCTAGTCTTCCAAGGTCAATTAAGACTCAGGACATATGAGAACTTGTACTGTAACGTCATGTAACTTGGTCGTGTCCCAAATTTTTTGATCAAACAGATTATGGGGCCAAAGAGAAAAGTGATTGATGATGTAGAGTGTGCCTAAGGAGAGTCACATGGAGAGAAAACATTCTCTCAGGCTTTCACAGAGAGTACACTGGCCAAGCAATGGCTGTGACTCATCTACATGGCTGACACTGACAAAGGTTCTCCAATCTGAGGTACAGGATCTCAGGATAAATCCTGAGGGCATTTCACTGACCTTATCAGACTCAAAAGCTGCAATTCTTGTTGCATAGGTCCTGCTTTACCTTGGTTTTAACTATCCAGCAGAAAAGTATAAAAACGAAGTATAAGAAGTAAAGCTATGCTGTTATGTTGAGCTGTAGGGGACTCAGTTCAACAATTTCTGATATTGCCAGTCAAGTGGAAGACCCAATACTATTATGGACTACTGGACTCTTAGAATATTTTGCTGAGTTAACACACCTGTAATATTCAAATAACAGAACTTAACAATAAAGGCTATACAGATGAATGTCCTTTTTGTATCTGTGTATTCAAAATGGTTAGGATAGATATATAGTTACATTCTCTTAATGACTAGAGTGATTTGTTCTAATGGTGTTTGTAAATAGGATATCATGTCCGCATCTTGTACAGTCGTTAACCACTAGGAAGAATGTATGCAATATTTTGAACCTGTCCTACCAATTTGGTTTGAAACTGTCTCATTGCTATTTGTTTCTCAATAAAGTTATGGGGAAAAAAAGAAGAAGAAAGGAGCAGGAAAACAAAGTAAGGAGAAAGTCAGGTGATGGCCGGTGAAGAGATCAGAACAAAGCAGGTATGAGCCAAAACATTCTGGCAGCTTCTGCAAGCCAAAAGAGGCAATGATGACTTGCAGTGATGCCCACAGAAGTAGTCAGCCCCTCAACATTCATTTTGGACTTCTGACCTCCAGAGAATGAGAACACAATGGTGTTGGCTGAGACTACTGACTGTAGTCACTTGTTATAGCAGCAGTAGGACACAAATACACTTGGATTTCTAAGTTTTCATTTCTTCCAGCGTTGAAGAACTCTCTTACCATCTTTCTCATCTCAGCTCTCTAATTCAGTATGTTGCCTTCTTATATTTTATTGATGGTAGAAGTTGATGAGTGATAAACACTTGCTTCTTTTAAGCATATACTAACAATAAAACTCTTTTATTTTATATGTATATTCCTCAACTAACATTCTTTCTCCACACATTCCTGCTGAGTTTCCTACTATTTATGCATGAAAAGGTCTTTTAGTCTTGTGTCTATTCATCTTTACTTTGGCTGTCCAGCAGTTTGCTGTTGCAGTCCTTATCCCTGCTTTTATATTTAGAGCTGAACATACTGGTGTCTAGCGAACTTTTCAATGCTTGGTAGGATTTATACAGATTAGTTGTCTTTTTTTCTTGTCTTTCTTGGAAATATGGAATTTATTTTGATACTTTCAGTAGTACATTTTTTTTCTCAGAGAGACATAATGAACTAGACACACACTGATATATACAGCTGCTGAATATTGTATTTCCATCGCTTTTCAGATTTCTTCCTTTCACTGAGTCATGTTCCAGGCCTATTTCATTGCTGGGGATTGTCTTGGAATGAGTGGAGGATTCTGGGAGGTGAGCAAATGCCCATGACTTTACCATGTAACTTATTTTCCATATCAGGAACTGAACTAAGGACCTTGTGCTTGCCAGGTAGGAACTTGTGCCACCCAGCTATATCTTCAGCTCTTTGCCAAATAGCTCTATGAGCCATTTTAGGAGTGGAGGAAGTTTCTTTTTTTTGGTAGGTCTGTGAACCCAGAACTCCAGGGCAAAGGCAAAATTGAGACTGAGTCCCTTCTAGTTCTGTCCTGCTGCCCTGCTAGGTGGCATCGCTCTTGGTTTTATGTCACTGATGCTTGGTTAGTGACAATTTCTCTTGGTTTCTGGCACATAGTTATGCAGTACTACTAGCTCTTATTGCTTTTGAGGACCAGTACTGAAGAAGAAATTGGTGTATTTTTTTAAAAAAATTATGTATTTGGTTGCTACAGGGTCTCCCTATGCAGCTTGGACTCATGGTGATCCTCCTGATTTCAGGCTACCCAGGGCGGAGATTCTAGGCATGCACAACTATGCCAGACTCTGGCCAGCTCAGCCCGCCCTGGGTGCGAGGCAGGCAAGGTATGTGGTACCGGGATTGAACCATGTTCCCTGCATTTGCCTAAGCTTGCCTAAGCAGACACTTTAGTCTGCTGCGCTATCTTGCCAGCCCCTAGATTGGTGTATTTTAGAGAGCAGTTCTCTGTCTCCAAGGAGTGTGCTCCTGACCCCTCCTCCAGCCTGAGCCACACTTATATGCTAGTGTGCCCACCCTCCTTGTTCTAGGTTAGACTTTCTACCTGAGTGAGGCTTAATGGTTAGGGTTATCAAAATCTGTCATTTTTGCATAATCGCCGTTGCTTTGGGGGCTCATTTTCCCTCCACAAATTTAATCTGTATTAAAGATACATCTCTGGGGCTCAGAAATTATGAGCCATGAGGCTCTCTGAGCCACGATGGCCAAATACAACCTTTCTCTACCTTCCAGGAGTGCACTTTTAGTTCTTTACACCATCTGTAGAAGTCTGGTATCCTGTTTTCCACAGCAGTATTCAAGATCGTTATTTCTCAAGCATTTCAACAGGAATACACAGATGGCAAATCACAGGGTTTTAGCTTTTGTTGTATAATACAAGTTATTGAACTTTCTTCTTCCCTGCCTGGAACCTCAACAGATACGTATTCATGTTGCCCAAGCATCTTTAGGTGCATGTGTGTTCTCCTGGCCTCACTTCAGCTTGCACAGCCCCACAACCATCTGTCCAGCCCCCCAGAGATGCCCAGTGTCGCGTGCCTATGCTTGCTGGTTTTTCACATTCATGGCTCACTCGGCACATCGGTTGACTTGGCAAGCTAAGGCTGGAGTTTCCAGCGGTGTTCAGTGGTGACCCTGGACTTCATGCTCTCAGGTCCTCCTGAAGACGACTTAGGCCGAAAGGAGTGCGCAAAGCCCTGGGCTTCATATATCATTTTAGCTAAAGAAACTTCAAACTTCTTTTAAAATGATAATTTTGGAATAATTTTAGATTTACAGAAAAGCTCTGAAGGTGGTGCAAAGATTCTCTCATTGCCTGTACCTCGTTAATGTGTTTCAGAATCATGGACCATTCACTAAACGTTCATGTTCTTTAGCTATTAACTAAAGTGCTGCTAATGAAACCAATAGATTTTATTTGGATTCCATTGGTGTTTTTCCATGAATGTGATTATTATTTTTTTTGAGCAATCCAGCATTCATCTGTTCTATCAGTCTGATTCTACCAGAGGTTTTGGTTAGGTAGCTGTTTCTTTCCCTGGGGCTTCCCCAACTTTCCCTGTATGAACTCTCATTTCCTATTACCTAGTCTTTAGGAAAAATAGGATAGCTTCCCTTCTATCATCTGAACATACTTTAATATTGATTATTTATTTTAATTTCTTCTTAGATCAAGCAGATTTTTTAAAATAATTCTTTTTTTTTTTGTACTAGAGATTGAATCTAGGGCCTTTGCACTGAGCTACAATTCCAGTTTGTGTGTGTGTGTGTGTGTGTGTGTGTGTGTGTGTGCTGGAAATCAAGCTCCATTCCTTGCCCTTGCCAGGCAGGCTCTGTGCTACTGAGGTATATCCCTGGGCCCTAGTCCCAGTCTTGTTTGATTTTGAGACAGGGTCTCAATAAGTTGCTGAGGCTGTCACAGGTATTTGCCAGTAAGCCTAGCAGAGCAGGTAGTTTTTATTTTTGCTTTACAAATGGGGAAACTGAGGCACAGAAAAGCTGAATAACTTGTAACCTGTGGCTTGAATTGAAGCAGGCCAGTTCCTGCTGGTTGACGTTCTTACTCTCTCCACAAGGCCCTGAGGTAACACATACCTGAGAGAGAAAAGCTGATCAGTCTCCGACTTCCTTGCCCTTGGACGGTCTCATCAGAGCCAATGCTTTTAAAAATCTGTAAGAAGAACAACGAGAGACAAGCAAAACCAGCTTGAAATGGATACTCTCATCAGTACAAACATGCTAATCACAGTTATTTCTCTAGCTACAGGCAAAGAGAAGAGCAGTGTTGTGATTTCGGTGGACAACTATTGATTAAAACAAGCTCCTAGCAACCTAGCATCTTTCCCAGGAATAGAAGATGTGCTGGTGGGAGTGAGGGGAACTTTTCAGAGAAATGGAAATCCACAGACATAATTACCCTAATATTATGGGCCTTTTGTAACCATTTATGCAAACAATGTCTGTTCAGATTCAAATTTGCAATAAGTATTTATTAAGGCAGTGCCTAAAGCAGTAGAACATAGGTCAATAGATGTTTACTGCTGTAATTATAATGTGTCTCCATTTAGCAAAGTGCAATGTTAAATTGCTACATCTCCACTTACTATTATTATTTAGGGATTTCTAGGAAACTCAGTTCATTAGGGAAGAACATAAACAATAGCAGTCAGCAGCTACTCGGAAGTCTCTCGTATTTAATGAATTGTCTTCCTGGGAAATTTCACAACGTAATTGTTCCATGAGCTATCTGCAGTCTAGCAGGTACTTGTAGATCAGATTGCTGATCATTGCTCAATATGTGTTAATTGGTGAAGCAGAACAGCTGGAGTATTGGTTTCCATTCTCTTCTAGGAAGATTGCATTCAGAAATTGTTTGAGTACTTATTCCAAGGCACAATAAGTTTTCTTAGTTATCTTTGAATGTGATGCATGTTTGCTGAAAATAAATTTTAAGATCTGAATATCAATCACCACTAAGTGCCTACTTTTACAAGATGATCCGCACTGAAGATGAGCAAGGTGGGCCAGTTAGCTACATGTAGAAACCCCCCTTTTTGTAGTGTGTGTGGATTTATTCTTTCTTTCTTCTTTCAGTATTCTGGATGATGTGAGCACCGTGAGTGAATGTTTCTCCAACCTCCTGGGCTTAATATCTCTAAGGCTCGCAGCTTCAGCTCAGGGGAATCCGGGGGCGGGGATGGATTTGTGGACCACTTCTTGCTGCTGATGTTTTGGGCAAACTTAATAAGCTCAAGGGTGAATTGCATCTCAGGATGCTGGGCTGTTTAATGGTGGGTGTCAATGTGGGTTGCAGCTTGTCATCAAGCGGGGTAAGAACTTATCACACCCTCTGAAAAGATCTCTGCCTCTTAGAGTCTCCCTTGGTGCAGACAAAGTAAGGCATGGCTGGGCTTGGTGAGTCAGGATACTGTGACGCTGAAACCTTAGCTGAGTCCACCTTGGCGAGCCTGTGTTTGTTCTTCCCATTGATTGGCTGACACAGCACAGTGGCCAACAAATAGCTGCAGCTCCATCCTCAGGTTCGCCAGCCTCGTAACTCTGGAAGTAGCCAGTCATGAAGAGTATAATTAGAGATTCAAAATTCCTTGAGGTTATGGATTTTTCTTTGTTGTTAGAAATCTGCCTGGGCAAAGGTGGTAGGAGACAGGAGCAGGCTGGCCATGTTCCTTTACAGAGCCATACGTGCCCACTGGGGATGGTAGAGTCTGGTTCTTAGCTGGACCTTTGGAAGGCCCATGGCTAGCTCATTTTCTTCTTAGAATGTAAGCTCTTTGAAAGAACAGCACAATTATAATTCTTTTTGGGTACTGGGGATCAAACACAGGACCTTGTGCTTGCCAGTCAGGTGCT